CAAAGCGCAAAATAATATGCCCCGATCATGACGAGCAGCCAACCTATGAGGAGCAAGCACTAGAGGACCAGCTTACTCAGGAGCAGTTCAATAACGAGTTAGAAAAGGATCTAAAAGTGATGCTTACTCAGGAGCCTTGTGACGAGGAGGAAGGGGGAGCAGAAGGAAGAGCAGGAGAGGCTGTTGAAGGTGAAGAAGAAGAGGATGATGATGATGACTCAGAAGAGGGATATGTATGTCCCGAGGATCCATTCCCATGTGAAGCCAGAAGGAGGCCAAAGGAGGAAGATTTGGACAAGGATTTTGACCTGAACGATGAGGCAGGGATAAAGCCTTGGCTTCTAAATTTTGCTAAAGCTTTGGCTGTGTTACCTCTGCTAACACTTTGAACTATCGTATATACAGGTCCCTCCTGAAACTCAGAAAAGACGATGTCGACGTCCGAGATATCTCACCAGACAAGACAGGGTAGAGGAAAGGAGAGCAGACGCAACAGCCATAGAGACAGACATTGAGGCCTCTGCTTCACAACCTCAATACACATCCACGAACATGACTACCAAGTCAAAGAGGAAACAAGGGGATAGAAAAGCAAACCAATATCCAGATAAGGCATGCTATGTGATAACAGAGATCGGGCTAGCAGGGGTGATCCTTGAGGCGAAGGAATTTAGAGGACGATTTCATAATGTGATCGGGCCCTAGTAAGAGATTAATTGAACCCAACAATCCCTAACTGGAAAGAGGTACCAGAGAAGAAAAAGGATGAACTATGGGATAAGCAGCTAAAGCTCAATTTTAGATTTCCGAAGGGTAAGCAAGAACTGGTAAAAAAAATGCTTTCAAGATCATAGGAGAGTCATTCCGATGTTGGAGGTCGGAGCTCAACAAGAAGTATATCCAAAAGGGGTTAACTCCCTTCAACGAGTTTGGCAACATAACTCCTAGTCAATGGGAGGAGCTCGTGGCTCAGAAGACTTTATCGAAGGCATTGGAGCTCAGTGCCCGTAACACCGAGCTGGCAAAGAGGAACAAACATCACCATCATCTAGACCCCGGTGGCTACTATGCCAATGAAGAGCAGTTTAGGAAGATGGACGAAGAGGCCGCAACTTCTAGGAATATCGATGTGAATAATTTCAAGGTACACTCAAGGAATTGGATATATGCGAGGAGTACAGAATCATCCGGCGGTAATCTTAAGTTTGATAAGCCAAAGACCTAGGAGGCAGTATCAAGGATACTGAAATATGCTAAAGACAAGGAGAAGGGCTAATTCAATCCTTCTAGAGAGAGGGACAAGCTTAGCCTTGGCTTGGGAAACAACGAGCACAGAGGCCGCACCAGGGGCTAGGGAAAAGGATGACCTGGAACCAAGGATTAGAAGAGGACAGGCACATGTACAAGAAACATGGCAGAGATCGAGAGGCTAATCTTGAGCTCCAAGTGAAGGCTCTAGTTGCGAAGGCGCTGGAGGAGCAAGGACTATCTACGTAGCCATGAACATTAATGGCGCCACCGAAAGAACTAGCATTAGTTGGCAGCCCTCCAGAAGTTTCTAGCAGCCAAGGTTCCACTGCAGCCACAACCCCCGTCGATCGCATACGGGAACAAACTAGTTGCACCTTGGTGTTTCTCAGCGGCCGGCAAAACATTGTGATGGAGGTGGCAATGGGTGCGGCACGTCCTCTCGGTGGCTTACACCACAATAATAAGATACCGCTAGACTACACTAGGGTCGAGGTGCATACCGTGAAGCCCGACTTCATGCAGTGGAGGATAGACTACACAACTCCCGAGGGGCTGGTGTTACTCAGAGACGTAATGGGCAATTCATCCTCTGGCACAAACGGGACATTATATTGACTACTTCTTTGCCGCCTCCCCCTCTCTCAAATTTGGAGAGGACAGGCACATGTACATGAAACATGGCAGAGACCGGGAGGCTAATCTTGAGCTCCAAGTGAAGGCTCTAGTTGTGAAGGCGCTCGAGGAGCAAGGACTGTCTACAGAGCCACGGACATTAATGGCGCCGCCGGGAGAACTGGCATTAGTTGGCAGCCCTCCGGAAGTTCCTAGCAGCCAAGATTCCACTGCAGCCACCACCCCCGTCGATCGCATAAGGGTACCAACTAGTTGCACCTTAGTGTTTCTCAGTGGTCAGCAGAACATTGTGATGCAGGTGGCAACGGGTGTGGCACATCCTCTAGGTGGCTTACACTATAATAATAAGATATCGCCGGACAACACTAGGGTCGACGTGCATACCGTGAAGCCCGTGTTCATACAGTGGAGGATAGACTACGCAACTCCCGAGGGGCTAGTGTTACTCGAAGATGTAATGGGGCAGTTCATCCTCTGGCACAAATGGGACATTATATTGACTGCTTCTTAGCCGCCTACCCCTCTCTCGAATTTGGAGTGACTTGTTGAGGACGGAGAGAATTTTTCACCGTCTCGTGACCACCACATTCCTGAGATGCCACATTCTTCCCCGCCTCCTAGCGAGCATGTGCCTGATAAGCCACAACCTTCTCCAACTCATACCGAGCAAGTGCATGATGAGATGCCACAGTCTTCTCAACAAGCGTAGTCGATACATGAACAATGAGTGCCTCCTGAAGAAGGTGACGCACAAGAAGATGAGGACGTGCCAGAATGGGAACTTCAAAAGAAGCATCCAATCACTATAAGGCCAATTTATGTTCCGATGAAAGGCATCTCGTTGGTGCACAAGTGGTATGCCCATGACCAGTTAAAGCCTGAGAACCAAGTTAAAAAAGTCCTAACACGGGCTTCTGAGGAGGCCATCACTAGCAAAGTCCACCAAACAACAAAGAAGTATCCAATTATTGATGCCATCAAATGGTCAAAGGATTGTCCAAAAACATATGAAAGAGGCAAGCCCTTCCTACGAAACTAGGATATCCAGCGCCTACCACTTGGAATGAGAAGGTTCCATGATTGGTAATTGCGTGTTCTCCTGGACCTCGTACAAGCATGCTTCCCCGCCGGTATATTTGGAAGCCTAGCCGGGAAAATTATCTTTGACTTCAATGACATGCAGACATGCTTTCACCTCATAGCAATGGAAATGAATTTAATTCACACATGGTGCCTGTAAGTCCATGCCCTCCCGATATGATATGAATGTAATCTTTGGATTTTTTGTAACTAACCCATGCCATGATTTATAGAATGCAAGTGCACATTGTAAAACAAATGCCAAGTGTGAAAGCCGGAAATATAGACCCTCAAGCTATAGCACAAATAAATTTTAATTACCCTAGACAGTAGAAACTGGATGCCACTAAGCTAGCTGCTGGAAAGACCCTTTAGGAGAAAGAGGACATCCATGCGAAGAAACTAAGGCAAGAGTCACTTAAGGCTTCGGCATACATTGCCCTGTCTTTTAAAAATCTACAACAACACTCTACTATATGGCTACCATACAACTTCGAGTAAGTTCAACTCTAAAATGAAAGTTTTGTTCGATATATTTTATTCGATGCAAAAGAGCTTATCTAGTTCAATGATTAAATTCATGCAGCAACCACTGAATTTGTATAGGCGTCGATGTTGGGAGGAACATGGCATGGGTCTTTGATTCAATAGATAGGGACCCAATGACATACAAAGACTTCATATCGATTCTCAAGACGTATACATATCGATAATCCTTATTAGCTTTTATGGTTGTATACATACTTGTAACATTCACTTTTGGATACTAACAATTTGTATTTGCTAAAATAATTCGAACATGGCATTCAGGTTCTATGTCAATGAACATCATGAAAGGCATAATCTAGTAAGGAAGGAAAGGCCGGCTATAAAAACACTATGTGCGGTAAGTGTAACTTACTTTAGTACTCCATTACATGGTTGTCAAAAGCATTACTTAACATTTTCATATGCAAAACACACAGTGCCCCAAGCAGAAGCCTGGAAGTATACATTGTGGATACTATGTATGTTCTATGATGAGTAACACCGTTGCCTATAGGACACACCCCTTAAAGGTAAGTTTGAACCTCTTCACCCGTAGTGTAAAAACTTCGCACATGATATGAAATACTAAACCAAAACTTGTTCTCTTGTAGTGGAAAGAAGAGAAAGAAATGAAAAGAGACCTATACAAGGATGACCAACTTTTAGAGCTCGTCGGCGACCTTTGCAACTTCATATTGGACCAGATTATACATGTCAAAGGCACCTACCATGACCGAGATTCTGACTTAGGTAGAAATCCTCAGTACCAACACCTTCATGAGACTAAAAGGCTAGCTCTAGGCCGTTGATAACAATGTGTATGGAATTTGACATTGGTCTTACCTTGTGAGACGGTTTGGACTTGTGGAACGAATTAGACTTGTGAATTATGTCTATTTATTGATGGATTGTATATATTCTTGTGAATTAGACTTGTAATGGTAGTTTACATAATGCTTTTGTGCTTGTGGTCAGATTTGAATTATATATATATATATATATATATATATATATATATATATATATATATATATATATGTTCTGGTCGAATTTGAATTGTAAATTTAAATTTTTTTTGTGTGGAAAATGTACTATAGGGGGCTGATACTACAGCCGCCCCTACAAATCGATTTTGTAGAGACGTCTAGGGTTATCAGCCGCCCCTACAAATCGATTTGTAGGGGCGGCTGATAACACCAGCCGCCGCTACAAATCTATTTGTAGGGACGGCTGGTAATACCAGCCGCCTATACAAATCGATTTGTACGGGTGATCTGAAAACCGCTCCTATAAATAAATGATTTATAGATATGGTTTGATAGGGGTGGCTGCTCAAACCGTCCCTACAAACTCTCTAAAACCGCCCCTACAAACCCCGTGTGACGTAGTGTCAGTCCATAGCTACTCTATATATGAGGCATCACAGCTCCTCATCTAACCACACAAACACAAACCGACCAATCATTAAGTGAAGAACATCTCTTTGTTCTTTCTTTGGATAGATCGGAATGGGCAAGAGCCGCGGCAGCATAGCTTTCTTCGGGACCTACAGGCCCCCGGTGCCCCTGGACATCTTCTCCTGCCCCACTAATCCGACGCCGCTGTCGGCCAAGGACGAGCTGCTCCTCACCGATGGCGAGTCGTACAACCAGAACGGGCAGCCCATCCCAGCAGCGGCGCTGAGAGAGCTCCTGACGTTCTTGGGCAAGAAGAACCCGAAGCTGGCGTCGGCGTGCGGCCAAGGATCTGGGATTCGACCGAGACAGTCCGAATTTCGGCAAAATTCGTCCATTTCAGTTAGGTCCGAAACGAATTCTGTGCTTCAAATCTCGAAATTTCACCGAATTGAGTCCGAAATTGGACCGAAATTTCCCGAAATTCGTCCATTTCGGTTGGGACCGAATTTTTTTCCAAAATGAATCCCAGAACCTTGCGTGCGGCGCCACCCCGGAGGACGCGGTGCAGGGCCGCGTCACTGGCCTGGTGTTTGTCTCCGAGAGGGACAGCGGCCTGGAGACGCTGCACGTGGCTTTGCGCTTCGTCGTCGGCGGCAAGGTCAAGGTGCTGAGCCTGGCCGACATCTACGGCGCCGACACCTTCGGCGGCGTGCGCATGGAGGACAGCGGCTGCGTCGCTGGGGGCTTCAAAGTTGGGCGTTCCACCGTCGGCCACTCCCTGGTGTACGTGTCCACCAAGGAGCCGGTGAGAGCACGGCGGGCCCCGTGGACCGTGGTGTACCGAACCAACCTCGCCGACGGCAAGACCGAGCGACTGACACCGCCGGGCCAGTACGATCTAAGCCCCGCGGTGTCGCCGTCTGGGAAGATGGTGGCGGTGGCCAACTTCCAACAGAACAGGTGGAGCGGCCAGATCGAGAACCTCAAGACGGACATTGTGATTATGAACGTGGACCGGCGAGCGCAGGGCGGCCTGGGCCGCAGCCGCCTTATCAAGGACGGTGGCTGGCCGACGTGGGGCAGCGACAATGTCATCTTCTTCCACCGAGGGTTCGACACCACGCCGCCCTCCAACACCGCCAGGTGGGGCGTCTTCCGGTACGACATCGCTTCTGGCAAGGAAGAACGCGTGACGCTGGAGAGCATCGATGCCATGACTCCAGCTGCCATCAGCGAGACCAAAGTGGCCGTGGCCACCGTCCGCGAGAAATCCAAGCAGGTTCTCATGAAGGTGGAGCGCGTGGTGACACAGTACAGGCACATCGAGATCTTCGACACGGCCTCGCCGGCGGGGCAGCCGCCGGTGCCCATCACCCAGAAGACCAGGCCTGAAGGCGACCACTACAACCCCTTCGTGCTCGACGGAGGAAGACGCGTCGGCTACCACCGCTGCAGAACGGACAAGCTACTCAAGGTCCAAAGGAGTACGACGAGCATCCAGAGGAGGTTCGACAAGGTGCAGCCGCCGGAGTCGCACGCTGACGTGGGGCTCTTCCGGGTGACCGGCGTGTTCCCGTCCGTCTCCAAGAACGGCAAGAAGCTGGCCTTCGTGGACAACGAGTTCAAGGCCGTGTGGCTCGCCGACAGCAGAGGCCTCCGCGTGGTGTACAAGGTGAGGGCGTCCAAGAGCGTCTTCTCCACGTCGTGGAAGCAGAACGACGACCTGGACACGCTCTACGTCTGCGAAGGGCCGGCCTTCTCCATCGACAGCCCGGTGCAGATCATGAGGATCCCTAACGTGTCCAGGGAGGACTACGAGAACGTGGAGACGTTCCCGCTCACCGACGAGGAGTACAACTGCGCCTTCCCGTCCACCAACGCCGAGGGCACCAAGCTCGTGTTCCGGTCCAGCAGGAACAGGGTGCCGGGAGGGGAGAGGCAGCACAAGAACCTCTACATCATAGACGCAGTGAAGGGGGAGGCCGCTGGTGTGGACCAGCTCACCGACGGAGCATGGACCGACACCCACTGCAGCTGGTCGCCCAGGGAGGGCTGCGACTGGATCGTCTTCTCCTCCTCCGGCAGGCCCGAGGCAGACGTCGTCAAGGGCAGGGACGAGCCGGAGAAGGACCACGGCCTGGACCCAGGCTACTTCGCCGTGTACCTGGTGAACGCGAAAGGCATCAAGAAGGGCGAGGTGCCGGTGCCCGTGCGGGTGATCCACAGCGCGCCCACCATCGCCGGGCACATCAACCACCCCGTGTTCAGCCCGGACATGGCGAGCATCGTCTTCGCCGCCGACCTCGCCGCGGTCTCCGCCGACCCCATCTCCATGCCGCACTTCACGCACTCGGTCAGGCCCTACGGCGACATCTTCTCCGTAAACCTGCGTGACACCACGGACATAGCCAAGAACAGGGACATCCAGGAGTTCCACCGCATCACGCACAGCCGCTACGAGTACTCGACGCCGACGTGGTCCAGTAGCTCCGACGACGAGGAGGACCCCAACGCTAAGTGGAAGATGCTGGAGAGCTTGCCCAACTTCACGCCGTGGTGCCCGTACGCGCGCGGCGAAGCGGGCGAGAAGGAGGGCTGGCACATGACCGGACACCTCACCATCCAAAAGCGCTGCTGCTGAATGCTCCAGCGATCCTGCGGTCCTGCCCATCAATAATCCTTCCGTCTCCGTTTAATTTCCAATTCCGGTTTTGGTTTCCGTTTCCGTTTCCTTCAAGAAATACTATTATTTGAGTCATCGCTCACTAGTACATAATAACTAGTGGGTCTTTATGTCTGGTTATTACGACCCCCTGTGGCCCTGAACTCCTTTTTTTAACAAATAAAAACAGCGCTCGTCCATTTTACTCATTATTTTGATTATATTAGAAGAAACTCCATCACGAGGAGAGAGGAAGCAAACATGTCTACCTGCAACTAAACCAACCGAGCTCCTCGCTAGACAGCATTGCAGTTGGAATCACTGCTTCAGAATAAACAATCACCGGCGGCCATCACTACTCGAATTTTAACGTCAAATTTATCGAGTACCAAGTGTATTCTTTCGGGCACTCGGCAAACAAATTCTTTGCCGAGTGCTACACTAAAAACAATCGGCAAAAAAAACACTCGGTAAAGAGGAGGTTTGCCGAGTGTAAAAAAAAAACACTCGGCAAAGAGGGGGTTTGCCGAGTGTTTTTTTTTTGACACTCGACAAATAAATAAATAAAAATTTCTCGGAAAGAAGGAGAAGAAAAAAATGAAAAAAAGCTTTGCCGAGTGCCCAGATCTAGGACACTCTGCAAAGCAAAAAAATCTTTTTTCTCAGAAAAGCGAAGAAAAAAAATGAAAAAAAAAACTTTGTCGAGTGCCCAGATCTAGGATACTCGGCAAAGGAAAAAAAACTTTTTTCTGGGAAAGAAGGAGAAGAAAAAAAAACTTTGCCGAGTGTCCAGATCTAGGACACTCGGCAAAGGAAAAAAAACTCTCCTTAATTAACCGGATCCGCCCGCGCCCTCTCGCCTCCTCTCTCTCTAGATCCGCCTATGCCCTCTCTCTCCTCCTCCCTCCCCAGATTGGCCCACCCCCACTCTCTCCTCCTCCGCACCCTCTCTCTCCTCCTCCCTCCCTAGATCCGCCCGCCCCCTCTCTCTCCTCCTCCATCCCCAGGTCTGCCCGCGCCCTCCCTCTCCTCCTCCCTCCCCAGATCCCCCCCACGCCCTCCCCTCCCCCTTCTTCTTCCCCGGCGGGCGCCCCTCCCCTCCCTTCTTCCCCCGCCGGCGTGGAGGGCCAAGGCAAGCTCTCGGCCGACGGATCCACGATGGGTGGTCCTCGCGACGGCGGCTTGCATTGGATCTGGCGAGGAGGGCCAAGGGGAGGTCCACGGCGGCGAATCCACTGCGGGTGGGCCTTGCGACGGCAGCATACGTCGGATCCGGCTGCTGGGGCTCGGATCCGGCGACGATGGGGTTGCAGCGGCCGGCGTGGGTCCGAGGTAGGTCAGCTCTCCCCATCTCCCTCTCTTTTCCTCTCTTCATCTCCCTCACTCTCTCCCTTGCCGGTGATCAGATCCACGGCGGCGACAGGCGGATCCGGCGGGGAGCAGCAGCGTGGAGGCGGGCGGATCCAGCGGGGAGCAGCAGCGTGGAGGTGGCGGATCCGGTGGGGAGGTGCCCTCCAATGGCGGATCCGGCAGGGAGGAGCGCGCCGGCGGGCGGCGTGGTGGTGGCCGACGGTGGGGCGTGGTGGTGGTGGTGGTGGTAGCCGGCGGCTGTGGTGGTGGTGGTGGCCGGCGACTTGTTTTTTTTCCCCCGAAAATGTTTGCCGAGTGTTTTTTGGGGACTCGGCATAGTCTTTGCCGAGTGCCCGACGTTTGACACTCGGCAAACAGCTCTTTGCCGATAAAACCTTTGCCAAGTGTCGTTTGCCGACTGTAACACTCGGCAAACGCTTTGCCGAGTATTTTTGGGCTTTGCCGAGTGCCCTTGGCACCCGGTAGTGATTGATAAATGCACCATTCCCGGTTCGTAAGGAAAAAGCCTACCAGTCATGCTTCCTGGCTCTTGAAAAAATTCAACCTTTTTAATATGAGTAGACAAGGGGTGAACAAGACACCACTACTAGAAACCAAAATTTCCCGGTCTGTGAAAAACCGACAGCAAAATTGGCAATACCGACTGGAAAATTAATTTCCCTGTCGGTCCGACAGAGATAAAGCGACAGGGAAACACAATTTTTCCGTCGGTTGACCAATTTCTTTGTTGGTGCACCATTTTCCTGTCGGTGTAATGTCAAAAAGAAAATTATGCGTCACCGACAGGAAAATTTTGCGCCACCAGGTCTAGAATACCATGTAACCGACAGAAAAAGGTAAATAAACCGACAGAAAATAACCTCCCATTCCTCATTTACCGTCAAAACAAAGCACTAGTCAACAGAAAATTTAAAATCCATAGAATAATCTCAAATTTAACTTGAACCATTTATATTGCATGAAAGTTGAATGAAGAGGTCATATTACACAGGGCACACATGGCCAGATTCTTCAAATAGCATAGCACCAACAGTTAGAAACATCACGAGTTAATTGGCACAACAAACTTTGCCTCAAAACGGTAATAATCTACTCTAATCTATAAAAGAATAATGAATCTTCAAGCCACTGATTTAGCCTATCTTGAACAGCACGTCTTTGCAAAGGTTCATCTATCCTTATTTGAACAAAACCTGCAGAAGTATAATAAAGACGACTTGCATAAGCAAGGTTTCATCCTTGTTGAACAAAACTTACAGAAGTATAAAGAACAGTTTCTATTTAGCGAGCCCTTCAGTCTCACAAAAAAATAATTGCCAAATTGTGCTGATCTGCTTCCCTAATGGAAATGAAATGTGTCGGATGGCAAAATGACCATCTAATCTAAGAAATAATTAATAATAGCAGGTGAGTTTCTATGCACACATACTGGTACCACTAAGTCAAAAATATTGTGTAATTTAGAAATGTGTTGCCAGTTTGCAATAGAATCGCATTCATTCATACAACTACATATCGTAAAAAGACAATTCGTGGTAACAACCTAAGATACCTCCAGCATATCGTGAGGAATATTGTCTCTCGTGCTCGAACAGAAAAGTGTGAAGCCCGAGCGGTGCTCGCGCGTATGGAGGTGCCACCGCCGGCTTCCATCTGCGCCGCGGGATCTGGCTGATCCAGGGCGTGTAAGGACTTGTCTTGTGGCATGTCACTCAAAGTTTATATTGATGTTGTTGGCTCTGTCAATTTGCCATTTTGGCCATTACTTTGGTGCTGTTTAGTTCCCAAAATTTTGCAAAATTTTTCAAGATTCCCCGTCACATCGAATCTTTGGACGCATACATGAAGCATTAAATATAAATAAAAAATAAAACTAATTACACAGTTTAGACGAAATTCACGAGACGAATCTTTTAAGCCTAATTAGACTATGATTGGACACTAATTGCCAAATAACAACGAATGTGCTACAGTACCATTTCCCAAAAAATTCGCCAACTAAAAAGGCCTTTGTGAATTGCAAAACATGCATACCACTGTATTTGTTGCATGTACAGTAGATGTGATGTTTGTTGGGCAACCTGTACGGTCCATTCGCCATGAATTACGAGCGAGTTGTATTCCATTGGCATTTTGTTCTTATCAGCTTGCTTGATCGGTTTTCGTTCTTGACTTTCTAAGTGAGTGATCTTTTTCATTATCCTTGTTGAGCAGAGTTCAGTATAACAGATCAGAGTTCAGCACAAGAAACTCTGAGTATACGTGTGACTTTCTGCAATGGGGGCTCTCACTTGGAGAGTTGGAGTGCATCATTTCCTTTTTATTATTCTCTTGCTGCTGCTGCATTTGATAAGATAATCCTATTGCAATGGATCAGTGTATCTTACTATGTACTATTTGGTGTTCAAAAATAGTAATACATCCCAGTGGCAAGTCAAGTCGACGCCTGTCGCCTGTACATGTGCTGAGCTGTGAGCTAGCTCGTAGGCTCATCAAGAGCATTATATGCCGAGAGCCCAAGAGAGGACGACGCAACGTCAATAGAGTTCACACGGTCCTCGTCATGCCTACTAACGTACGTGTTGCCATGAAGGTGGACGCAGCGTTACCAATGGCCGTAGGCTGTGAGCAAGGCAAGTCAACTCGACGCCTGTGCTGATCTGTGAGCTCGTGTGCTCATCAAGAGCTTTATATTATATGCCGACGGCCCAGGATAGGCCGACACATGACGCATGAACACATGACACCTGCGCCACGGAGTACTCACTTCAATATACTAGTCCATCAACCCGTGCAACGCATGGGTTTTTATTTGTTTTTATATGTAGTTAAAGATTGCGCTGGTAGCATATTTCATGAAGCTTGATTGTGGTTTGGCCCTTGATTGCAGAAAGAGAATGTTACGTGAAGCAGGCAAGTTATTCTCATGACATAAATAAATTATAGGAAAGACATATATGCTCTACACATGTTCGAAATCATAATTTACTATTTAACACAATAAATATTAAAAGAAAATTAAGCAATTGTGACTTGTCGATTCCATTGCGTCTGCAAGCATCATGTTGTTATCATAGTATAAGTATGCTTCTGTTCCTGTTGTGTACTTTCTCCTTTTTGTATCTGAGTTTGGGTGTTGTTGAATATCATATGTGTGTGTGTCCAACGGCTGTTTGGGTATTCAACTGTGTACAAAACAAATTAAAAGAAGTAGTTCTTGGTTCACCTAGAAAAGAATGAAGATAGCACGATTGAGCATTTGTCCTTTTTGGTCCATACCTGAAATTGTTTTCCCAAAGTGTATGATATCTTTTATGTTTGACTTCAGTAGATGCATCTTTTGTCTGAACTCCACTGCACTAATATCAGTTTTTTTAAGAAAAGGAAGCATTCTAAACTCAAGATAATTACATCGAGTTGATACAACCATCTTGAGATCACTTCCGACCTCTGCATTGAAGCACACGGCCTATAAAAGCACTAATATCAGTTATGTCCAATGATTGTTTATGACCTTCTGTTTCCTCAATGTTTTTGTATGTAAGCAATAATACAAATAGACCTGATCATTTTACACTTTGACGTGTTGCCATGGCATCTTGGTAGCT